AAAAAAATATTTCTGTAGTAATTGATATAGATATGTATACCTATATGTAAATTTTTTGGTAAAGATCCGATTCAAACAGCAAACTTTTAAACATACAAATAAAATTGCAAAACTTTGTTGTAACTAATCGTGCCCTTAAACCAACAGATGAAAACTGAGCTGGAACTTTTGAAACTTCAACTTTCAAACACGATCAGGACAGAAACGAGCATATAAATTTTCGGTGGCAAACAGTGGCGCGGCTTGTGACAAAGTGTCGTAAGGTCGTGTAAGTCGGAAAGTATACGTCATAATTCGGGTCGTAAACGTCAACACACGACGTCGGCCCCGGCGGAGAGCACTGATTCCTGATGGATCACCCGGGGGTGAGGACCCGAGGTGTTCATCTAGAAGACAACTCTTGTAAGGATTTTATGGGCTGTCAATTATTGTGTATTAGTATTATCCCATATGTCATTGCAAAACGGAAGTAAGTACATATGTATAAAAGTCGGTTTTTAATGTTAATCAGATTAACCGATATAGAGAAACTTGCAAGGGTTAAATTGTTTATAATAATATAAAATGCCGAGGGTTTTATCGAGGTTTTTCAGAAGGGGAAGGGTTAAGAGCTAGTAACGAGCACGTGATACCCCTGGTGTTTAAGGAATCTGTAGGCCGTGGTAATCGTTTATAATAGAGTCTACAGCCTGGGGTTTTTCAGATGGCTATAATTTTTTTTCTATTGTGTCTATCCTGCAATCAGTCGAAGACTATAAACAGATGTGGTAAAGGTTACGCCGCGGGTAGAGTTTGATTCCCTGCAGAATCATCATCCCTTTTGGTGGTCCTGATTAATAATCGGGTTCCAGTAGCCTACGCCTTTTAAGACGACGTATGTTGTCAGGGACTAAAAGAAGGGTAAGGATATGGTCTTTTAAGGGTGAGGTCAACGAGCACGTGATACCTCTGGTGTTTCAGTCACCTGTAGACTATGGTAACCATTTATCATCAAATAAGCGCTATGCTTTCTCTTAAAAGTATAGTATGAAATAAAACCGACCGCTATTTATCTATTGCCGAGAAACTATTTTAGAAAGAATATTAATAATAATAGAAATAAACCGAAAGAATATTATATAGAATCAAATCTCTAATTTCTGTATATAAAACTAGGAGTAAATATAAAACTAGAAATCTAAACTTTTAAAAAAAGTATATATGTTTAGATCTATTAAGAAAAGCACAGAACTGAAGAATTTAGGTGAGAATATATATTTCATTCAAAAAACACAGATTATAAATTAACACAAATATTATATTTTTGGATTTATAGAGTTACTATTTCAGTTGAGAATTCCATGCACGCTGTTATAATAGATATTAGTGAACACACACACACACACACACACACACACACACACACACACACACACACACACACACACAGACATGCTCTGTAAGTCACATTAAGCACATTTCTTTTAAAGATTCCCATATTTTTCTTCTATAGCTTAATATTAATTATTTCGTATAATTTATAAACTGCAACAGTTGTAGCTATAAAGGGACGCCAACCGTATAGAGATCCTCGTATAAATGCAAGATTTTTGGTCGATGCGATGGTACGACAACGAAATTTTCACTCTAATACAAGTTTATATGAGATTTTGACTTACGAAAATCGGTCAAAATACTATGTGATGTACTAGATTAGAGAGCAAAAATTAAACTAATGTACGATGTTAATATATTTTGTAACTTCGTACAAGGCTAAGTGTTATAAGGTTGGTAACCCTGTAGCTACATGTAGTACCTACTCATAATAGAAACTTGTGTGGGTCGTTTAGTAGAGCATAAATTCGTGACATGTGGCATGGTATTACATAATGTATGAGCGTTTCTTAGCTGTAGCTTTATTACGTTTTATTTAGTAGATATAAGTACTGTGAATCCATGTAAGTGTTAATAAAATTATAACATAGTGGCCTTGTGGTTTAACAACCCGGAATTCGGATTAAAGGCTCTTCTGTAGCCGTAATTTCAATTTAGTAAGACACAACTCGACAATTCACACAGTGCCATCTAGTACCAAGCTAAGCTATTACTGTTAGGTATGGGTAGTAATCAACTGATACAAATATTTTTTTGTAAATAATATATAGGACTTATTCAGACTAATACAGACAATCATACTCATGAATAAAATGTTTGTACTGTGCCAGGAATTGAAACCGCGACTATCGGAAGTAAGGCGGTGTGCAGAACCGCTAGGTCACCGATAAAACGTCAATTTAAAAACAGACTTATTGTTGTGAAATGATGGTGGTACAGATTTATTATTTTAATAGTTACTTAAATAGTTGATAGCATATATCTGACTGAATTTGCTTTATCAGTTTATTTCAGCAAAGCAGAAAAAAGTAGTAGTATAGTAGTAGTCTACCTATTAGAATACTTATATATCTAGTATTTTTATGTTTATTATTATAATAAATACATGTACCTTGGTATGCATGGAACTACCTACTACTATATACCTATACCTAAATCATATGGTAATATTACCTACGATAAAATTACCTGCTCCTACCTAAAAATAGGTAGCGTTGATAAAAATATTATTATATAATATAATATAATAGCATAACAATGTTAGATAGGTAGGTACCTACTGTGTATAATATACATTAGAAGTTAATAAAGATATAAGAAACAAACCTCATATAGTAATATAACTATTTAAACTCATTTCTATCTATTACGAAATCAAACATTAATCATTTAAAAAGTTTAATTGATTCATTAATCATTTAATAATCAAGTCTCATAGAATGCACCTTCGCAAGATATTATTAGGACCAATTCTCATTTAATATAGGTTAAAATTACTTATATTATATCTTAGCGAAAATGGTTACTTCAGAACTAGCTATTTTAAACGCTGTTTTTATTGAATTTTACTCATATACAGATGCCAGTTTCTCAAAGTAAACTAAACAAAATTTCGCATTCATACCGCCAGCCAACGGCATTTAGTAGTCTATAAGACGGTCTCACACATTCGCAGTATATGACATTATATGGCACAGCATATAGAAGTTAGAATGGGCGTGTCCGCCGCTTCAGGCTGAAGCGACCGCCCAGCGACGGGAGGGCGGGCCGTAGCCTTGATGTATCACTAGATAGTTGAATATTGAAACTTTAGGAATTTCAATACCTAACACTGAAGTAGGTAAGTGCTTATATACCGTGTTTAATACATATATATTTTGGCTTTTCTCCAGACAATGTCCAAGAACTGTATGGAAAGGGACTTTTAAATTTGGTACAAAATTAAATAATTCTTTGCAACCATATCTACCTAATAATCATTTTAACAATGGGAACGTAGAAACTCTATGTTTTGTAAAACAAAGTAGATTCAACTTAAATACCTATGCGTAGAATATTAAATTTATCGTAACGTAAAATTTTCTTTGAAATTTCCTTACTCATGAAATAAAAGTGGCAGGGATAGAATCATATCGTAGAATTGAAAGTATACCCTAGTTACGTCTTAAATAATCATTCTGACATATTTTAAAAAAGTTTTGTTTTATCCATTTCAAGTCACTAATACCTACCTATATAAATTACAATTGTACTTTTATATAGACTGGTATGATGTCTCCGTGATGGTTAATTATTACTTTAATACCCTAAGTGGTACTCTTTAACCTTTAACCTGAATAAGCAATATCAGGGTGCATCTCATTTCACTGTCATCGAACACGTTTCAAATTAGAACCTAATTCCCTGCTTTCCATTCTTAGGAGTGACATCCTACATTGGCTTGTAGAATAAAGGATGACTACTATTCTATTCTATTCTATTAGATTCTTTGTTTTTTTTAGATATTTATTTTTATTACTTTGTCTTTTTAGATGTATTGCAGGTAAATATAAAATATGTATCTAAGTGTGTAATTAATTTAGAAGCCAAGATGGAGCAAACCTAATATACACGAGAGTAACCTAATCCTAAAAAAATTAAGAGAAAAAAAAATGTTTGTTCTACTCTGGAAGCGAACCTACGATCTATAAAATATAATTAAATATTTATCAGTTAAAGAACAAGACTTCTAGGAATATTACGATATAAATATATTTTTTTATAATAATTAATTTATTTTTAAGCAGTAGTTCATTATTATTTTTTAAGACTCTACATGACAACTGGCAAAATTAAAAGCAAACAAGAAGAGGTAACAAAACTGATAAGATATCATTACAATTAGGCATTTAATAAAATATAAGTGTTTCAGATTTTTTTCAGGTACCTACCTACTTATACTGTGGTGGACAAACAGTGGAGGTTAATAGGACGGGATGAAGTCAGTTCAGTTATCCCTTAGTGTTTAATTTATGACAATGGCATCTCTATAGATATAGTTTATTATTAACAATCCGTTTACTCTCATGTTTAAAGAGTAATAAGGCCGCCTGTTTTTAGCATATTTATAATAAGTTCTTTTTTTGTAAATATTTTTTCTACGGACAATAAAAAGTTATATTATGATTATTACAGTTATTATAAGAAGCTATAGTTTACCAGTGGAAAAGAAGAAATGCTTGAAATTAGTAGTACGTATTTGATAATAGGCTGATATCTTCTTTTTATAGGGAGAGTTGTGCCCTGCAGTTCGATGTACATGGGTTGTTATGGTTTGGTATGGTGTAGATATATAGATATATACTACGAGGTAGAGATATACTATAGTACCTATTTATATAGGTGGATAAAATATCCAGATACCTATATAGAAAGGTTGAAAATTAAAAAATCTTCGAAGACAACCAATTAAAATTTTCAATATAAGGTAGGTACCTATTATGGATTACATAGAATTTTGATAATAAGTTTAGTATCTATATTAATATATTCTGCAAGTACCTAGCTTCAAAGAGATCCAATTCCAGGTTTGCAGATTTTAAGAAACTAATATTACTAAATTATTGTTAACTTTAGTACATACTTACTTAAATAAACACAGTCAGTTTTCATAGACAGTCAGCAACACAAATTTTAGTCATTATCTATAAATATAAAGCACCACAACACATCACTATAACACTTGAACTAAATATGTCTGTAAAATAAAAGAACAGTTTCACACAGTTCGGTTCAGTCCATTCAAACGTCGATCACTAAGCACAGAATTATTATTCAGAACGGTCAGCAAAAAAATCATCAATAGAAAAATTGTTATCAGTGCTACTATCGGAATGTCAGTGTGGCGTGGCGACTGTCAACTGTCTACTAAACGAATCGTCACTGCTCGTTTACCGCCATGCCCACTTCTATGCCACGCCATCAACGGAAGGCCGTAACTCACAAATATAAAAAACTAAATCCACCTCCGCTCCTATGGATTTGATCACGATGTTTCTTGAACAGCGTCCGCCTCTTAGAACCTTTTGTACAAACTGAGCTTCTACTAAATATATTGTCGATGCTCTTCTCGCTGCAGTAAATATGAATATTCCATCCCTGTCACTTGACATTTGTAAGTTTGAGATTTAAATTGGTGAATTGTTTTTATACTATTGTTTATATTTCTTCATGTTTAAAAAATATATTACTAGATGTAAACCTTTAATATATATTTTATATTATTTTTAAACTATATCTTAAAACTTGTTTTGATACTGTATCCGAGTCGTAGTATATCGCCATCTCACTTACTCGTGTATATCTTGTTTGTTTCACGTTGCACGATTGGGCCAATAGCATTTACGGAGCAACCCACCTTACGGCATATAAACTACAGTGGAATATTGTGCTCTATCGCTTGTGAATAAAGTTTAACTTTTTAACATTTAATTTGAAGTTACCGGCGTTTGTCACGCAAGAGTTCTAATTTTAAATCAAGTGTAGGCGGAGCTCTCATGTCGGAGCTTTTATATTGAAAAACGAAATGTCTTTAAAGAAAACTTGTTTTGAGTAACTTAAGCCTTTTAAGTACAAAGGTTTTAAGTTTAGCTTCGGCTACGACATAGAACCTTTCGAAATTGGCAGAAAGCACTCATTGGAATAAAGTAAAAAAGTTTAGTAACCGGCTTGTCGGTATTTTTCTTTTGTTGCTTGATTTTTGTTTTGTGAACGGGACATTGCATGAGAAATGCAATGCAACAGTATGGCGGCGTATTCTTCTGTGTATGCAATTTTGAAAGTTTATTGAGCATTGAATGTTATAGGTAGGTACTATCATATCATAGTAACAGCTACTTTTGAGTTAAGATCTTTTATGGTACACCTATGGTGTATGTAGTTATGATTATAACTATAAGATTGAAGGGTAGTCATCTCACATAACATGTTACATAGTGTCTACCCTACTAGCGTCGCCGGGTTGGTATCTATGAAGCGTCTCCGAGTCGGGTGAACTCATTAGGGCTGTCGGTCAAGGCCTCGAGGTCGCTGCGGTAGGTGGTCGCCTTAATTACACCCTACGCCGATTTGGGACTTCTTTCTCTCGTGTTCCACTTCCACAAACGGCTCGTTGCATCTTCTGAAGTAGTTGCGGTATTGACGTTGAATAAGTTTATATTTACTAAGAATTTAGTTGCAATGTTTAATATTTTCTTGTATTTGTAAGACAGATAGTGTGATAGTAGCTAACTAAGTATTGCTACAGGTATTTTTGATGGAATAAATAAAAAAAGATATTATACTTAATAGAGAATGTTCTAGGTACTATCTTTATAATTGGGCAATGCTTTTAAAACCGGGTGGTAACGTCATTGACGTACGTACCTAGCTGATGTTTTTTTTTATATACCTATTTAATCTGCCTATGTCATATTTATATTTCATACTGCAAACATGTTTGTTGATGGGAGGGGGTTATTAGTTATGGGGATATCCTAATACTATCAATGTATCTTATGTTTTTTATATCTACTTACTGCACTAGCCCAATCAGAAAAGTGGTAGATAATTAGTCATAAAACAAGAACAATAGATCAAATATAGATGTATTAAGCATAGTACTTTTTATAACAGGATGTATTTTCTGTTATATTACAGGTATGAAAACATACATAGACACAAGCTATTAAGAGTTAGGTACTTTAGTCGGCTAATAATTATTGAACGGAATTAACTTACTTAATGTTAGTGACTCTATACCTACCTATATGTAGGGTAACTACCTATTACTTATAGGTAATTTAAACACGCTTCAAATAAACTAGGACAAATTTCTAAAATTGGGGACAATTATTAATAGACCTATCGATTCACTAATCTCCAATTAAATATATATATAGGTACCTATTGTCCCCGGTACCTTTTTTGGGTGAATAGAGAATGCAACTTTGGCTATAATTACCTGCATAGTTAAAGTGCACCTATACTTTATCTATAAAGGCAATTATAGGTAGAGTTGCATTCTCTATTCACTCAAGAAAAGGTACCGGGGACAATGTGTGTTAATGGTATAACGCTTGAGGGGACCAATTCAGGAAGATAGGATGTGGAAAATATCTGGCCTTATCCTATAGAGATAAACTTAGCAGAAATTGACCACCATAGTTTCCATGGATGGTGTTTCCATGGTTCCAGTGTATGGTGTGTAGAGGTCGAATTGACTTGGTAAATAGATACTAGGACTAGTTCATTCATTCATAATTTAAGAGCTACGCTCTTGTCGGTGGAGCTCTTGCCACTTTAGTAGGACTAGTAGCCACATTAACATCAATGCTGTCGTTTGTTGATATTCTATTAGCCTCATAATGTTTCTGGATAAAGTATAACTGTAATGCTAATGTTCTGTTGTAGTAGCCTCCATCCAGGCTTTGTGTATCGCTGAATATTCACGAGGAGACTTAAATGAATTAAAACTTATTTAAGTATTCCGCCGCGGTGGTCTGTGCCCATCAGCTATTCAAAACCGGTTTTACTCATTAGCTGAATAATAGAATGCGACCGAAATAAGAATAAGTAATATAGAAACGTTTTGGATATCAAATTAATTAACTATATATCTAAGTAGTATCTACTAAGTTTCCCTAAGTTGACTTTGAATAAAGTCGTCTACATTCTCTCTTAGAAAAACTCCAGTTATGATTATGGCTAATTTCTAATGCTAATTCCAGTGCTGATTAATGGCAAAACTAGATAGGTACCTATAGGTACAGGATTATTTGTAAATAGTAAGCTGAAAATCCAGTGATTAATACTGGTAGAACTGAACAACATTCCAAAGAAGCAAAGTGGAAAATAAATTTTAGAACCTTCTCACTAACTGCGCGCTTTCGTGTTAGATAAGAACCTAATCAATTTAGTATCTAGGTAAAATACTTTTTTCATTAAATTTTCCATTTTATTTCTATATGAAAGTGGTTTAGTTTCATCAGTTTCACTTTATATGATTTCCAACTTAGTATAGGTACCTTATATTTTTTTTCGGAATTTATGAGGAATAGTGTTTTATAATAGGCATTAGTAAGTAACCCCGTATGTAGGATAGGCATGATGATATCAGAATAAAGAATTTTACTGCCCATGCGCCGCTGGCTTTTAGGCAGGCTTCTAACCCGTAGTACCTAAGTACTGAAACAAATAATAAAATATTCATACTGCAAACATATTATTTATTTCTATTGAAACAAGCAATTACAACGCTGAAGTGGATCAAAATAAAAAGCGTTAATATCATAGAGCATTTACAGTAATTGTATGAAGCATAGTATTTGAGTCTCCATAATCATAGTGCGTAGGTACTGTGATTAATGTTGGTGTGGCGATGCGAACTGTTAATTAACGGTTATCACTCGTTAATACGCTATAATTATTGCTACATGGCGTGCCTGAGCTAATATAGATAGAAAAGTTTGCTTAGGTAAAGTATGCTAAAGATTTTGCCTATATTTCATTTCTAATATATCTAGTTAACTAGGTATCATACTTGAGTAGAGTCCTACCTAGGATAGTATTTTTGAGAAATAGTATCCATCTGTTGTCTATAGGAGGGCAGTGGTATCTGAGGTAATAGCCTAGTTTGGCCTAGTTGGCCTAGTTTAAAGAATACTGCCCTGGACTTAGTGTTAAATAGTTTCACTTTGTTAAGAATTACTTACATTATATAGATACATACTGGGTATAAAAACTTAGTGAAGTCCATTTTGTAAAAGGTTTAATGTATACTAAACATAGTATTATTGTTATATAGTTTCATGTATGAATCAAGATATTATGAGAAGCGAAAAGGAGAGGCAATGTCGCCTCTAGTCCTCCATTATTAAAGTCACAACTTTTGATAAAAATAAAAAGGTATTCACTGAGTATGTTGTCTGTAATCATCAGTCAACAGTATATTTTTCTGATTAACTCTCCGGTAATAGAAATAGAAATCAAATCTATAAAAACAAATCTATTAATTAATCCATGATACTTCGGTGGTCTTTACCTCTGCCATTGGACATTCACCACGAAATTGATAGTTTACAATTGTTTATTTTAACAGTCCTTCATTTAAAATTTGATCACTTATAGTGAAGGTCATAACGCGTCCAGTAGCAGTAGTCAGGTTTCTGCACAGAATATTTATGGTCAGTCACACATGGTAATGGTAGCGGGATTAAATAAAATAATATAAATCTATTAAATAATGAAATAGATTTCCGCAAAATAACACCTAATTGAATAAAACTGTAATGGAAGTATCATCACTTGTCAGTGAAATGAAAATCTATCGATGAAGACTGGTTGAATGAGATCTAGAAACCTTTACAAATATCTTAAGAATATTATTAACGTAGTAGTATGGAAGTTTATGAGTGTAGATGGATATAGATATACTCAATTACTTATTTAATGAAACTTTACAATATACTATATAATATAGCTCATACATCAGAATAACACACAGCCTATAAATTTCATACGGGTGAAACCGCGGGCACAGCTAGTAATAAACCATATGGCAAACAGAAAAGGAACAATGAAATTTTCTCATCTTCCTTATGAACCAACTGTTCACTGCAGATACCTACCTAAGGCCTATTTGTATCGTTGTGGTCCAATAAACCTCGTGGGATTACAAAAAACACTTTCAACGGCAATATTCAACACTTCCTTGGTTAGGTTACAAAATAAAATGGTTTGACACTGCATGGCCATGTGATAAGGTATAATTTGGCGTCATATTACGCGACATGTGCAGCAGTGAGAGGGTTAAGGCTCATTAGCGCTGCGCTGGACGTTGATCACTT